TGATTCTGAGCCAGATGAACATGTTAGTAAACTCAGCAGCTGTGAAGCATGGAATTCAAACTTGACACTACTCATACAATAACAAGAATTAAAAAAAAGAAAAAAAAAGAGGAGTAACATGAGAAATCAGTCATTTGACTATATTTTAATTATCTAGAAATAATCTGCAGTCAGTAACCCCATTATACCTAACTATAATACCCCTTTATGTGTCTATAACATCATTGTTATAGACACAAAATTTTTTTGACATATATTATTTGATTTCTACATCTGTTTCTATTGCATTGGTTCCTTTAAACATTATTTTTAAAAAGTGCCTATAAGTAATGAGTAAATTATTATTTGATAAATCTTCATAAATTCTTTTTCTTTTACCCACCCAGAAGTCAGTAACTCCAGTGTGACTGAATTGCAAATCCCTTTGCAAGTCAAAAGGCTTCCAAATCTCGTTTACTGACAGACTCGAAAGAGAACATAATCAGGTACAGATAAAAGATTACTCAGAATAATTTTTGATGATAGATCACCATGTGATTAACTAGAAGGACTCCAAAGAACTGAAAGGCATGTCTATACCAGAACTTCCCCAGCTTCATACGCTTATTTAGGGAAAATGTTTCCTCTGGGCTTAAACCAATAAAAATGAAAGGAGTAACAGAATTAATGTTGAAGCTTACCTAATTTTATCAATAAATTATGTTTATTAATGGAAACATGGAACAAGAGATTAACTTTTATCTTATTAAGAGATAATGTCTTTTCAAGGAAAATTTACTTTCTATGCTGCACAATTACATATCCACAGCTATAATGTAATATATTTATATTGTTTTTATTTATTTGCAATTGTAATTAGAACTCAATCTAGAAGACTATTTTCCTACTGACAGCTTTATGATCACATGAAATTTAAAAAATCTAATTTGATATTTTTATTTCATACCACATTTCACTTCAAGTCTTTTGAAAGATTTTTAAGTATAAAATATATAGTGAGAATAAAATTTCACATGGGGACTGGCACAGAAATGTGAAATCAAGAAAAAAAAATACAAAATTTCTTACTATTATAGGAGAGTTTGTCTATGTAATTATTAAAAACTGATGGTAGTGTCAAACTTTTCTAGATATATTTAAAATAACATTTATAAGACAGTATAATTTATTTTCTTTCAAGTGCTTAAATTGTGAGGAAACTTTTTACATGCCAACTTTGAAGGCTGAGGACATGGGGAGTTTTAAAGTTCTTTCTAAGGGAAGGTGCGGAATTTAGGAGCTTGAAGGTACCGCCTAGGAAACGGCTGTGTGGCTCCCAAACCATCACCTGCTCCTGCGATGTATGGAAGTAATCCCAGAGAGCATACGTGCGGTTCACCTAACGAAGCCTCGTCCTGATCACCCGACGGGTGCAGAGGGAAACAGAACTTCAAATACCCCACACCTTCCACATGTAGCACGGGAAACTACAAAGGAAGCCACAGGCAACTCTGTGCATCTATTTAAAACAACAACAGCTAAAATAACCTATAATTTCATTTCCTGGAAGGCCCTGCAAAGCAGCGAGAGGTGCCCCCAAGTTAGCGAGAAGCACCTGCAGGGGGTGGGGGGGTGTTAGTACTCACGTTGGAGCCCCTTCCCAACGCTGACTTGGAGGTGTCCTCATCGCTGTCCACCCCTGATAGCCCGATCTGCTCGGCCTAGAACAGAAGCACACGCCCACGTCATCTCCAAGTGAGCAAGTAAGTTCAACAAGAGTCGTCCTTGGCAATTTATTAGCACAAAAACTGCCAGTTTCGCCATTCTTCAAGGCAGCAGAATCTGCACTAAGCAGTTGTCATCCACAGACATAGCCATGTCCCTCAGCTTAGGAATCTGAAATCTGTTCTAAAACAGCCCCTAACCAAAGCTCCACTAATCTGATCATCAAAATTTTGAGATCCATGATGCATGGGGGATGAATTTTCTTTTTCCTTTTTCCCAAAAGCATTTCTTTACCTTCTAAAAGATGCACTACAAAAACAGTACTAGGGCTGAGCTGATGGAATTAGTTCAGAAAAATCAATTAGTTAACTAGGATTTCTAAGTTTTACTCAGTTTACTATTGCACTGCTTACTGATTGGGGGCACACAGGTCTTCAGGTGCCTTTGCAAAACTATTGGGTTAGGAGAATAAATAACATAATAAAATGTTACAAAATTATCATGTTTTAAAAACACTAAAAGTCAAAGTTTAAAGAGAAGGGAAGATATTTTGCCCTCACCTAATTCAGGCAAAAACAGTATCCCTTTAAATATATTCTCTACTGAAATTTCACACACACACACACACACACACACACATTTTTGTTCTTAAAGGAGATATGGTAGAAACATATGTTAGCTTTAAATGCTTTTCTATGTCTCCATTCTTACTGTTTTATTCTGAGACATCCATATACTATCTGGCATCATAGGATTTTAGAAATCATTTAAAAAGCCATTTACTCCAAACCACTTATTATTCATGATGGAAAACTGAGCCCCAGATCAGTTAAGCAATCAATGTACAGCATGAATGAGCCGTAAGAAGCCAGGGGTCTGGAGGCACATTTGACCTCTGGCCATCCCAGCACTAATCAGCAGCACACAGGCTTTTTTTTCTTCACCTATAAAAATGAAGTTGATAAGACCCCTTTCACCAAGTGTCTAGAAGATTAAATGAGGTTGCATTTAGCACAGCACCTCAAACCACAAATGGAGCAAGAAACAAGGTATGGAGAAGCTAATGCCAAAAACAACAAATATGCCACTGAGGACATGACAGAATAAGGGAAGTCAGAGCAAAATACAGTAAGATCAATGGCAGGAAAAGTGAGGTACAGGAGAAAGGAAAATTGTTCCAGCCAGTCCCAGACAGAAAATACAGGATAGAAAGAAAAGTCCAATACCACAGGGCCGGCTTCACTACCACGGCACATGCACAGACGTCCATCCTTGCAGGTCTCCTGCCAAACACTGGAAGCCAAGCCAGCTGGCTGACCCCCAATGCACTGGGCTACCTTACTTTGCCCAACACAAAAACATTTCTTTTTTTTTTTTTACTGGCTTTGCTGGCAGCTTCATTTCTCAAAAGGAGGAAGACACAAGAAGGCCTCTTGAATCTGGGTTTTACTGTGAGCTGGTATTGTGAGGACCACATCACTGGTGAACATGGTCCCAGCAGACTCACCTGAGACAATTCTGGAAAAATACTTATCATGTATAGAGTGAAGGGAAATCCAAATGCACTACTCTTGAGTCTGTAATTCCAAGTAATCCTGACAGGAAAGGCAGAACAGGGAGGGGTAAGGGAGGCCCCAAAATCTTCAGTAAAGAGATACAAGCCGAGTACAGATCTTCAAAGAACATACAGAAACCTGAGAAAGCAGGGATCACAAAACCATAATCAAAGCATCATTTCTGATTCATAAAAAAATGAGACAAGGTGCGGGAACCTCAGAAAGCCAGCAAGCTCCTCTACGAGGGGGGCCTCATGAACGCCATCTGGGCATCAGCTCCACCAGCATCCCTGTCACCTCACCTCTGTGCTTTACAGACGACTGAACTGGGCTTTAACCCTGGAAACCTGAGCAAGTTTCTCTATTCTGACACCAGAGACACCAGAGGGCCAGGAAGTGAGATGGAAGGCCAGGTGCACAGACTCACCGATCTATGCAATGGGATGGGGGGATGGGGGGAGGCCTTCACCCTTCCTTGGGCTTCTTTTAAATCAGTACAGCTGGTGGGCACTTCTGCCCAGTTGACTGCATTCCAGCCTAGCAGTCACCAGAACAGCTGTGTCTTTCCCCATCCCATTTATCAGTAAGGAGAAGACACCAGAGAGCAGCAAAACATGCCCTTGAAACAAATGTAATAGGGATAAGGAGCATTTTCCTTGTCTTGGTAGTTAGAAAACATTAAGTTTTAAGAATTCCATGATTGTAAATATCTTCATTTTTACTGTCTATACTCTGACTTCATTCAATAACACTGTATCCAGAATATGACTTGAAGATGTATTTAATAAAAACCAACAAGATCAATAAAATTAACATCATGCATGCAGCATACTCCCAAATCAATAGGAGGGCCAAAGAACAAGCAAAATTTTCTAGCAACTTGCCCTGTTTAACAATGGATACTCTCCTCTATAAAGTGGCGAGTAACAGCTTTTCAAGGCTTCATGCTAAACAAATTCTGAAACTTCAGGTCACCTGTACGGTAAACAGATACCAAGTTCTGACTATCTGGAGTGAACTTACTGCACCATGATTCAGCCATTCATCAATGCAAAGCTTATTTCCTGGGCTACAATCACATGCCAGCTATATAAGTCCCAGCAGAGAAGGGCATAGTTTTATGTTCTGATAGTCAATAAAATACCATTTGTGGATAAAGTGAAGGTTCCTGTGGCCAGGATTCTCACCTGGCCCTGGTTGGCTAGCTCACTACACCTGTGTGGGCAGTACATCATTACTGACTCTATATGAAGAGCCTCGCCCCGTACTCCGGGCAACACAGTGTCATGGCTGTAAGGCTACAGGAGAGCAGAGCAGAGGCTGTAGAGGTGGCAGCACTGAGGACAGAGACTGAGACGGCTGCGCGGGTAGAGAAGCCCAGAGGCAAAGACCGACTGCTGCATGCAGACTTGCTCTGTGTGGATGGGATTCTAGTGATTGGCCTGCCGCTGTGGGAATAAAGTTGGGTATAACCCTTTCACCCCAGGAATGTTCTACTGTCATTTCTTTGGTCACATTGAATCCATAGTGAACTTGCCTGGGGCTGAAACCCATTGGCAAGACACTGCCTCTAAGTTACCTGCTTAGGAATCCTGAGTCAGCCATCTGAGTGCACCTTTTTACCTGAAGGAATTAATGCTCCTCAATATATTTAGAAAAATCCCAAGACAGGTTGACTACAAACATCCCAAGGAACTATTTTTACAGGATACAGAATCATATATGTATTTAATCCATTACCTTACTATTGCTTCTTTTATTAGCTCTGAAAAATCCCAGAAATTTTTTCTTCTCTTTATCTGTCTCCTCATTGCCAAGTGATGATTTTCTAAAGGTTTCTGGGGGGAAAAAAAAGTGAGTTATTTGTCAGCATATGAAACAAGAGATAAAACACTTTATTTTAAAAATCCCTACAAAAGAATCATCTCTTAAACTTCATTTTAGTTCTCTCAAGAAAGTAAAACCATCAACTATTTCTTTCAGAGCATTTCAACTCGCCTCAAACCTCCCATTCTGGTTATGAAATCACTAAAGGTTTTGACAATCTTTAGTGATAATGGTGGCATCCTTCTCTGGGTGTGCTTATTTATACCCTGTGTGAGAATGAAAATAAACCAAAGAATTCTAGGGCAGTATTGCCCAATAGAAAATAAGGTGACCCACACATGTAATTTTACATTCTCTAGTAGCCACATCAGAAAGAACTGGTGAAATTAATTTTAATAATGTGTTTCACTTAATTCAACATATCTAAAGTATTACCACTCCATTATATAACCAATTTAAAATTATTAATGACATTGTACATTGATATGGTACACACTTGTATTGGTACGAAATCTTTGCAATGCAGTATACATGTCACACACACATCCCAGCTTGGACTTGCCACGTTGCAAGAACCCAGTAGCCACATGTGGCTGATGATAATCATACCGGAAAGCACAGCTCTAAGGACTGTGACACCCATGCAAAACACTTGCTTTACGAACTAAGAGTGGGGTAAAAATGATAGCTCAATAACATAAGTTAACAGCCTTTCTGCTTGAGGAATCACACTCACTTCTAGAACCTAGAAACACAGCAATGGTTTAACCAGGAAGGATTTGAAATTATCACACCAGATCTTCAAGGACCCATGTTTCTAGACTGCCCTTCCTCTGCTTCAGCCAGAATGTTTTCCTCTTATTAATACTTTAGCGGGGCCCATGTTTCTCTTCTATTGTTTTTCTAATATTGAGCTCTAGATCTCAAACTTTTCCCTCTCTTAGTGTTTAACTTTATTGGGATTTTAGAAGTAGAAGAGGGCCTCTCATGTCCCAGACAGGGCATCAAAACCTGGACTTGTCAGGCAGCTGAAAACAACAGAGGGATGCAGCTCTGGGGGTGAAGAGGAGCTGGCTGCATCACACCCCTAGGAACCCAGGCCCCTCCAGACCCAGGGAGCAGCAATGCAGCCCAGCGTCTTGCATTCACTAAGTCGCCAGATGCTTAAGCTGCAGGGACCATGCTTGAGAACCGGCAGAGTACCGGTCATGAGCGCCAAGGTGTGAGCACGCTTAGGCAAACTGCTCCACTACCTGCACCTCAGTTTCCTCATCTGCCAACTGGGGATGAATCAGATGAATGCCTGACACATTATTAAAATAACTGACTGCCATGATTCACTGATTTGCTGACACTGCCAAGGTCACTCCTAGCCTCTGTCACTAGCTCATTCGGCTCATCTCCAAAGCACACTGATATAGGAAGAGGAAAACTTAGGTGCTCCTGAAGGATTCAAAACATGAATTTCCCCACACCACTGCCAGCTGCTGGAGAGCCAGATGTCACCCCACTGGTTCAAAAATCCAGACTAGTATTTTACAAACTCTGCTGCCAAATCATCAACCCAAACAGGGAAACATGGGTTAACTTACTTACCTGCTGACATAGAATTTCCTATACTAGTTAGAGGACAGCATGCAAGTCAGGCCATTAGTAAATATGTGTTAATACTAATACCCCACAAAGCAAAGAGCAAGCACATGTGCCCCTTAAATCATCCTGTAAGTGGCAAAGGCTCAGATTTTAGCCATGAGGCTGGGGCTCTCGGTAACAGGCAGGTGGTTCCAACTGAGCTGACCAGTGGCATCCAGTATCCCAACCAGCAAGCAAAATGGCTTCAGTCATGAGGCACGCATCCATGTGTGCACATACATGGACAGATTTCACACTTAATCTCCTCAAAATCCTCACCAGGCACACAGCTGTAAAGGGTTATCAATACTACATGACAGAGTATAACTACCTGTATAGCACAGTATGCATTAATGCATGTGTTGATAACCTAGGGTGTTTCTAGAACTGAGTGGCATATGACATGAGCAGAGTAAAGTGCATGACATTATAGTACCCAGCAGATGAACAGGAGAGCACATTAGTGGCACACAGGCTATTACACCAGCCACAAAAAACACACAGTGGACAGAAAGATGCTACAAAGTTGAGCCTCTTTTTCCTCCCCATGATGGTGACAGAGGCTGGTCGCCACCCCCACAGGACTGAAGGCTCAGACATCCTGGCTGCCCCATGGTGGTCCAAGAGGTAGTCTCTCATGTGGCCACAAGCTGCGGCTGTTTGGAGCCCACAGGGACCCAGGATGCAGCCCTGAGCTGGGCCCTAAGCAGATGGTTATTTTTTAGAGGTGCAGAATTGAGATGAGCCTCCTGTGAGACCTCTGTGACAGAAGGGTTGCTTGAGAGCTGAACAAGGGCACTTGGTTTCCCCTATAGTGTCTGCATCAACCAATATTTGCATGGGGCGCCCTGCTACAGTCAGTGTGGTATCTGACAGCTGATGCAGCCAGGACTGGGCAATGTGCACATAAGACCTAGAATCCATGGTTCCAAATGCATGACAATTGAGCATGCAATTTACTTTGCTTCAGTCTACTCTAATTTACTAAAACTTAAATATCAACAAAAGATTAGAGGAGGTTGTGCCTAACCCATAAGAAAGCACATACTGTTCTGAAGCACTAAAATGGCTTGGGAAGTAGGAAGATGCAGAGAATGAAGGAGCTCATCAGAGAGCAGCTAGTCTAAACCGTTCACTCTTCCTGACAGGAAAACTGGACATCAGCTGTTCACTGGCCAGAAGAGTCACCACACAAGTAAATGCGAGAGGAGAAGCAGGTCTACATTGTAAGGTGTGGCACGGGCATTCTCCTAAGGCTAAAGTCTAGGTGCCAGTCCCCATCACCAGACCGTGTGATGCAGGGATCTTTGATTTGCTGTCTCAACTACTCTGCCCACACCCCCAAATCAAGTCAACCCGAATGGACAGAACCTTCACCTCTGAGTTTTTGGCTCAAAACAATCCTCCATTCATGGTGCTTCTTAAAAGAGAATCGTATTTGTACTGCCCTGTCCTGTACACAGAGCAGAGATGAGGCCTGGCCACTGCCAGACATGACACCCGCAGGCTGTGGGGTTCCAGACCAATGCTGAGTTTTCTTCTGTTCACTTTTTGTCTAGACATAAAATCTATTAAACACTTTAGCAAATATGGACAAAAGTTTATGTATGATATAAATATTCATTGGGATTTTAATGAACTTTTTAGATAGTGTATTAATCCAGAAAGTCCACATAAATCTCAATATATGTGTGTGTATATCTACATATATGTATGCATGTATGTGTATATATGTAAAATTTATAAGAACAAATGTGTCAGAATAAAAGCAAAATCCACCTGCATTTATGAGAGGAAGGACTTGATTTTACAACTGCTACTGCCCCCAAGTTCTGCAGCAGCAGGTGGACCTTGAGGGCAGGTGAGCACAGATAAGCACAGGTAGAAGGAAGCAGGGCCTCCTCTGCAGGAACCACTTCTGCTCCACCCTGAAATTGTGTTCAGAAAGGACCCATTTTCTACAGCAGCCTCCTTCACTTCTCACCAGTGAGAACACACAGCCGGTCCTCCACAAGGAACACTGTTCTCTTAGCCAGCCAGGGACTTAGGACACCAAACCACAGCTCATTTTAGGCAGCAAAAGGCCCCTGGAAGAGCCGCAAGCCACACCTGCATCCCCTCAGGTCCTGCACACACAGGTCAGTACCATGCATCGGCCCAGCCCAGAGCCATGCACAGTGCACCCCGGCGGGGCGGCACTCCGGGCTCACTGTACCTTCGCAGCTCAGGGAAGGCTCCGACTGAGTTTTGGTCAGAAGAACTGGAAAAGGCAGCAGAGAGAATGAGGGCCAGCATCCACATCTGCAACAGTACCTACCAAGGCACCCCTACAGCCACTTTGGGGTCTGTCTGTGCTGTGCAGAAGGCCAAGGCCAAGTGTAAAGAGGCCCTCATGCCTGGCCTAACCTCCTACCCACAGGGGCCAGGCTGCAAAGCGCCTCCGTGGCAGCAGGTGGCAGCAAAACCTCAGGTCTTTCAAGCTGCTGCTGCCAGGGCCACAGCGGGGGATCTCGCGCCTCCTGCAGGTGGCCCCGCCCGCCTGCTCTCAAGCAGCTGCTGGCTGGGGAGGAAGGGAGACAGCCCAAGAGATTGTCTTGGGGGCTCCCCGAGACATTCTCCGGAATGGTCTCCTTTTTTCCCAAATACTTAACTGCCAGTGGGGTGGGATGGAGGAGTGTGGGAGGATGGTAAACACATTTTCACGGCCAGCAGGACACACAGAACAGTATGGTCCAGATGAGTGGGGTGGCCACCAGGCTAAGCAGGTCCCATTATGCCGGGTGTTACTCCTTTATTTTCTGGGGAGACTGCTAGGATCCCTTGAAGGGTGCTAGAGGCAATAGAGGGGGACTCTGGGGTCTGGGTGCAGCTCTTTCCCAGGGCAGAAGTGTTTCCAGATCTGAATGGCCAGGCTGGCGTGCCCATGTGCCCTGGTCTGCTTGGGTATCAAAATGGATCAACAGACTTATGGAAGTCTCCCCGCAACACGCCGGAGCTCTGTGTCCCAGACGACCATGGGTGTGCTGGGCTCCACTCCTTCGAGCAGAGGCTGGTTTTATATGATTTTTTCCAGATCACAGGTTCTATCTACCTTTCAAGATATATCTGACAATGAACATTTAACAGAAGTACTTGTTACGGAAGATTTTTTATTCCACATACTTAAATATGGGACAATTTTTCTTTTCTTTTTTTGTCTCTATTTTCAGAGAGTCACAGAAACCAAATTTATATAGGGCTGCTATAACCAGACAGACACGCCTGTTACATCCAGGCCCGGGGAGCAGATGCTGAGAATCGTCTTGTCTTGAGTTTTAAAAAAGATACTGGATATAAAACAAGACACATTACTCTTACATGTCTGAACACTATTTCAGAAGGAATAATGTATGAATCTTATACTCTTTTGAGCTAAATGAAACCTTTTCTTCAATGTTAAATGCCATTCAGGAGGAGATTTGTGGTGGAGGGGAGGTTCCATTATGATCGAGTTCATAGTAGATTTGGTAATAAGAAAAAACAAGATTTGTGGGAAGAATTTGAAATAAACTGTAGAAAATCATGAAAAAAATTGAATATGTATATATTTTAAAAGCTCCACCTATTCAGTATTTGTGGAATAAATAAAAAGGCAACAGATACACCTCATTAAAATAAGATACTTTTACGGAGTCTATCTTAATAATTTTAAGGTCAAGGAATTTTTTTTTTTGGTCCAACAGGTGCTTAAATACAGTATGCCCTTGGTGTCAATCAGAGAAACCTGGTCACACATTGTACCAGTCTTTGTACCAGCATCGCCTCTTGCCTCTCACAGGTGGCTCTGCGATCTAGGGTCAATTACCAAATTCATTCCAGAATTGACAGAGAAGAACTAAGGTGGCATCAGGAGTTGTCTTAGGGACTCATCTCAAAAACTGGGCAACTCATCTCAAAAACTGGGTAATTTGGGCAGTTTTTGTGAATAGCTACATGTGGTTTAGCAGCTGGTTTTGGACATGAGCAACGACGGAGACCTTGGAGCAGCTAATGGCAGCTGAGAGGAAATTCAGAAGAGTATGGTTGGTCTCTGTGCGGCTACCGAGGGACTCTATGGGAGGGCGTCTTATCTCAAAAGCTCACAGGAGACAGGACGAGCAAGAGGCATAATTACAATCAAAGGGACCAAGAACAAACCACATTAATTTTCCGCCCACTTCAACTCAGTCTGGATGAAACTCAAGCGCCCTGACCAGCATGCCTGCCTCTCCCGGGCACTCTGGCCCTGCACAGAGCGCTAACAGGGCGCGCTCCCTGTTTGTGCTCTCACATAGCAGCAAGGGAAAGCCCCAAGGTAGCCTCACCTCTTTTATTGTCCCACGCATAGAGCTCCTTTATCCCCAGCTCGTTTAGGGACTTGGAGAGCTCCAGCTCCTCCCCAGCAGCGCTGTCCCTCAGCAGTACCACGTGCTCTGGGCTGACTTCACACTTTGCACAGATGACCGGGAGAATGTTCCGGAGTGGCACCTCGGGGCTCACACGCACAACAGCCTTTTGTGTTCGCAGGTAATTCACGACCAGACGAACAGATTTCTGGAAGAACACACCAGGCAAAGGAATTCTGTAAGTACATCTTCCTGCAATGGGTTCAACTTCTGTCTTTATATTAGAACCAAGTGCCAAGATTTTTAGCCTGAGTCTTCCAAAATTCAGTGGATTGCGGGGGAAGATGGCATACTGAATAGTGAACATTAGAAGCTCTTTTACTAACGAACTGCTAACAACCCAGGGAAAGGGACACTCCTGAGGGTCTCAATTTAAAATCTAATACATACACTGGCTTCCAAGGACTCCAAAAGGCCTGAACTCAAGGTATGTACATTAATTTTTCAAAGGAATATAGTTAGGAAGTATTATGAAAAATTCAATTTAAAGAAAAACTCTTACCAAACAGGACATCAAATTTTTCTTTAAGAAGCCAAAATACCCACAGCAATAAATTAGTATCTGTGTAAATATATAGTGTGTATACATGTCTGTGTACACATACATATATGTATTCAATACAAAATACAAGACATATATAGTAGACATATAATAGACATTCTATTCTAAGTACAGCTGATTCTAAATGTCTACAGATAAAGTGCCCCCCCAAATTAATATGCCAAAGTTTCATGCAGTCAACTTTATATGGCCTTCACTGATCACCCACATTGTGCAGAGATCCTGGACACAGTAAATGTGCACTGAATCAAAGACCAGCCGAGGGAGACCTCACTCTCTTCTCCAGTCTGACTGCCAGAGTTTGATAAATTCTAGGAGGAAAAATGGAACTGCAGATCCTTTTCCATGCTTCTCGAACCAGAATCATGCATAACCCCAGGCTCACCTACCCCTGGGGCTCACATCTGAGGATGAGGAATTTGAGCAAGGCCGGGAGTATATAAAGGGCTTTATTCTCCTGAATAATGATTTTACTAGAAGAATTAGGGAAATCTCAAATAGACTATAGATGGCAGCAGTTAAAATTTATTTACTACCTAACCCTAGAAATTTATAGGAGGTTAATAACTATTGGCCAAATTGCCATTTTTTAAAGCAGGAAAATTTTGTAGATATTTTCAGAGTCTGAAAGAATGAATAGCCAAAAGATTTAATTGGAGCTAAAAAGGGTTATTAAAAAAAAAGTACAAAAAGCAGCTGGAGTCCACTTTCATCAATAATCAGAAGCCTGAAATAAATCTATGTATAAGATATTCTCTAATGGCAATGAGTATTTCTAAGATCAGTCTCCCAAAAGGGAAAATCCCTTTTCCTGCTCTCCTTAGGAAGATGCTCAAAGCTTCAACTCATCTTAGACAGGGAGACCTCCAGACCTGGACAGGAACCTCTAGAACTAGTCCAATAAGGTAGACACTGGCTACTTGTGGTAATACAAATTTAAATTAATTAAAATTAGTAATATTACAAGTTCAGTGTTTCACTCACTCTAGCTGCACTTCACATGCTCAATAGCTGCAAGTGGCCAGTAGCTACTGGAAAGTGCTGAATGAAAGACCATTTCCATCTTTCCAAAAAGCTCTAACGGGTAGCTCTGCCCTTGATTATTCCTCTTCTATAATTTCCAAAGAGCAATGTTACAACCATGAATACTATTAAATTCTATAAACTTCCACCTCCTGAAAATAAAATAAACTCAGTTTAGCACTTAACTTTGCCTAACACGGACACAGAAACTTCAGCCATAGCTGTCTGCATGTGCTGTTCAGGTAAGGGGCTGCCCAGCTACCACCTCAGCACTGCCAGGATCCGCAGCCAAGGTGTCAGCGTGTGTCCTGAGATGACCAAGGGTCCTCCGTCCTACTAACCTCAGGTGCCTTAGGCGGGCCGGGCTTAACCTTCTCTTCACGAACTTTTTCTTTCAGGAACACAGTATGCACATTCAGGGTCCCAACTAATGTATTTGGCTTAAAACTCAAAGGTTGTTGGGTTTCCAAAGACCGGATCTCAAGGGCATGGTGTGATGGATTCAGGTGGTTCTGAAGGCAGAGTTCAACCAGTAGGTCCATCATTGCACGGCTGGAAAAGGGAAAGAGCTCAAGGTTATTAGGAATGTCTGTACCTCCCTTCTGTCTCACTGAATGAGGGTGGGACGGACAAACTGCTGGATGAGTGAGAAGCTGGCTGTGCTTATGAGGAACGACAGCAGCTGCTCATTAATCCCTTATGCATGATTGTACAGCTTAACATTTTCATTCCTAATAAGCTAATCTACTAAAAGAACAAGCAGCAGATCAGAATCAGAACAGCTGGAAAAATTGTTATATTTTAGTCAAATCCATGGGTATATTGACTTGAATCCCAGAAAGTCAGTGAGCACAAATAGTATTACTCGGGACTACATTTCATACTCGTAAATATAATGTATCTTTTAAAAAAAGATCTTTAAAAAAAGCAATTTTAAGTTGAAGATGATAGGCTTCTTTTTAGCTTAAAAAAACTATGCTTTTTAAAAGACAAACACCTGAGAATATTATCTTTTGGGAATGTCAAAGATTTTCATAATGTCCTTCACCACAGGAAACAATTCAGATCATCCCAAAGAAAGGAAAACTTCACTTCCATCTATTGTATTTGTCTGGCAGAATGATTTCATGTTTAAAGCTGACCTCTTCTCCTAATTTCCCAGGCAGTTAGCATAACCTCCCCTGAAACCACAGTTCTTTCTGCTGATCTCGTTCTTAATCAGCAACTGGCGAGGCCATTACTGCAGGACATAGTCAGCCAGTTGTGGGGTGATCCGGGCATATGCAGATTGGGACTCACAGCGCTTCTGCAAACAGGTGCACCCTGCTGCCAGGCGGCCACCCATCCCTCACCCTGAGGGCTGAGCTGCCAGTGAGCAGTGAGACCTCAGGCAGAGCCCCTGCCTGAGAGAATCCCCAGATTGCAGGTTTCTCACTCAGCTGCTCCAAATGGAGAAAATCAAAATGCTATGATTGAAACAAAGCAACATTTCAAAGCCAAAGCCATCCTGAGACATTCACTCCCACCTACGGTTCAGTGATTACCCAGCAGCACTGAGAGGGACGGGGGATAACAGAGGCAGGGGCGCAGGATACCCTGGAATCACCTGTGAAGTCAGGAGTTGCTGACGAGGGACTGGGGGGAACAGGGCTACCCCAACAAGTGCCACAATAGCCTCACTGTGCTGGCTTAGAATACTAAGAACTCTAATTTCTTCAGCTCTGGGATAAAAATCATCTTTATCTCCATGACGAGCTTAAGGCGACAGTGCAGGGAGAGACACCACCAAATTTTCTAAGACATGAAGACGGCCCACTGAGCGCTCAGTACAGAAACCAGACTTCCAACAACGCTGACCAACCACAGCTTCCTTGGTACCAGCCACCGTGTACCCACAACCACCCATCACATCATTCCTCTCGTCCTCACCAAGGCTGAGAGGTGGGGACAGCGGCCCCGAGGCTTCCATGAAGACGTACAGCTGGGTGGGCCCCTGGTCCGCCTGCGGCCGTCACTCCCCCTCATCCCCACCCTCCCTCTGCTGCCCCCAAGTGAACCAACACAAACTGTCTAACAAATACCAGAACTCAGATCACCGAGACACCAGGCTCCTGGGGGTGCCTGCTGCCCCTTTAAACCAGTGGCTGGTTGGCAGGTTGGAAACACTGAAGTAACAGTTAGGAGAGGGAGCAACGAGCTCTGGGGATGGATTTTCCTCCAATACACAGAGTAAGTTCGTGTTTCCATCACAGAAGCCAGCACTTCATTGGATGTATTAGCATGGCAGTGACATAGTATTTATTTCCTCTCCGAATAAATACCTGGGTGTCCGAATCTCTACCTTGCATGGAATGGACTTCCTCCACAATTGACTGGTAATACTCAACAAAACTGGCCTGCACTCTCCCGTGACCCTAACACAGCACACGGCTCTTCCCAGGGCCTGACGACAAAGAGTCAGAGACACTTTTCACAGTTGAGGATAGAAGCAGTTTCTTGACCACATGTTTGGAGGGGTGAGGCAAGAAGGAAAGAGTTCCCAAGCTGAAAAATCCATATACTGGAGGCCTACCTCCTCAAATTCACTATTACATTTGAGGAAGGAGAGACAAGACATAAAAATAAAACACAGTGAAGACATGATAATAAAACTAAACACCAGAGGCCAGAACACTGTATGTGCTGTCTGAGGAGCACAGAGCCTTCACCGATTCAACCTGGGTGAGCAAACTGGACACTATCCACCCAAGCAGCTGAACCCCAGCAGGACAGAGGGTGTCTCCAGGGAAGTGAGGAGGTTTGGGGGGACAGCTAATGCTTTGATAGGGTCCTGCTCTCTGTTGGGCCACCTCTGACTCTCAAATGGATGGACACAGCGTCCCAATGAAGACTTACCCTGGGCTACACTTAAGAAGCTGCAGGTGCACAGGCCCAAACTGGAGGATCTGGGGACAAAATCATGTCATCTCATGTTTCCTGTGGGATCTGCCGCTTTGTGTGGGTCTCACCAGACCCTTTCCAACATGATCTCATTTACTGCTTTCTCCCTACATGGTTCTCGGGGTCATGTCCTCATAGAATGAGGTGTGAGTGGGTGGCCTTTTTGCCACTTTTCGCCACACCATTTAATCTGTATTGGCTGACATTTTAAAACATTGGAGCCCGAACAGTAAGGCTCCTTTGATGCTACTGGGGAATCCGCCCAGAAAGAGAATGGACACCCACAGTAGTGGTGCCCAGTGCAGGGCACAGAGGTACCGCTTGGCCCTGGGGGTCCTTTACAGATTCACCAGACCTCAGCCTGCACAGGGTTAATGGCTTCTCTAACTGGGCGTCAGTGTGGAGAAAATTTTCTAACAATGTGGAGCCATTTTCTAACAATGGCTTCTCTAACCGCACAGGGTTCTTAGCAGGACCAAGTGCCACTGAGCCACAGGAAGAACCTCCGGCAACTGGCATAGGCTGCCTGGTTACTCCTACCATTGCCATCATCCTGAACCTGCCCTGCCCTCCTGCTCTCCTCCCAGCTGCCCTAGATCCCCAGCTTTGCACATGGCAGCCACCAGAGGAGAGGCTGGGCACCGGCCCACGGCAGCAGTGCGGAGAAGGGAACAGAGAGGCAGCGGCCCTGGAAGGAGTCCTGGCACACCGCCCAGCACTTCTGAGACCTGCCTTGGTTTCCTCATCAGTGAGGGCATAAGCATGGCATCCACCTGTTAAAGAGTCTTAAATGAGTCGCTCACTTCATAGTGCACTGAGCACAGTGCCAGGCGTGGTAAGTGTGATGTATTTGCTGAATAAATGAGTTAATCTGTTCCTGCTTTTTCTCTTTAGGATTCCATGCAGTGATTCCTTTCACCTGGCTCGGAGCAGAGCATCCCATCTGTCTATGGCTGAACTAGCCTGGTCTCAGCAAATATGAAGATATACCAAGACTCTTTTTAACTAGCATCTTTGACACATTGCAGAATAAAAGTTTCCACCATCTGACAAAGAGGGAAATGAAGGCAATCAGACACTCTCAGAATGCTAAATGAAAAGTCAGTACTGAAGCTGATTAGACTATCAGTGCTACGGACCCAGAGCACACCTCCTCAGCCCCAGCAGTCACCCCCCCATATGAACACTGCCATTGACAGAACTGTATCCCCCAAGTTCATGTTGAACTCCAACCCCCAATGTCACTGTATCTGGAGATCGGGCCTCCAAGAATGCAATTTGGGTTAAATGTCATGAAGGTGGGCACCAATCTGATAGGATTAGTGTCTTTACAAGGAGAGACACCAGAGAGCTTGCTCTCTGCACACCCACGAAGCAGAGGTCATGTAAGCACACGGGGATGGTGGCTGCCTACAGGCCAGGAAAAGACCTCTGTGTGAGATTCACCCACTAGCACCTCATCTTGGGCTTTCAGCCTCCAGAACTGTGGGAATTATCCCTGTTCCAGCTGTCCAGGCTGGGTATTTTAAGGAAGTCTGAGCTAGGTCTCTCAATCACTAACCCCAAATTCAAAGGAAGAGTAAAATATAATGAACAGTAATAGAGGACTGCTTAGCCAAAACCACACTACCAGTGGTGGAGGGGGTTCTAGGGCAGATCCCAGGGGCCCCTTTCCCATTGCTCCCCAAAATCTTCTTTCCAACCTCATCATCTGTTCCCCAAATATCTTCTAAGTGCTCATAACACAGGGGTGAAGCAGATTTTTCAGCATTTGTTGTGGTCTCTATTTTTAAATTTTAAAAGTGAGTAGAATTTTTCTCCTCTTTCTTTAAAGAAATATTATTTTCCAAGTGGGTACAGACTTCAAAAAATATTTTTGTACCAGCTATAAAGTAAGTCATAGGGATTACAAGGTATACAGTCAGTAATATTGTAATGACTTTGTATGGTGACAGATGGTAAATACCTTTATCCTGACAAGCATTTTGTAACATATATAAATATCGAATCACTAGCACACCTAGAACAAATATAATTTTCTATGTCAAATATACTTCAATTTATAAGTTTTGATTAAAAATATACAATTCACAAAAGTTTATACACGAGTCAGTGGCATCAGTAGGAAAACCTGTCTTTCTTCACACGTGGTTCTTTTTGAAATCCTGGAGGAGAGTTAGAGCAATGAACAGGACAGAATGTGCCAATTCTCCCATGCTCCCCAAGTGCAGAGGGCACTCAGGGGCCAGACGACAGTGAGCAGACCGTCTGGGGACCACACAGTGTGAACATGGACATCAGAGGGGCCAAGCCCTGTTCCCATACAGCTGGAGCCAGCTAATGAATCAGCTTATCCAGGAGAGCACCTCTAAAATGCAAAACAGAGCTGCCTACATCAGTCATTCCTACAACCCTCTGTCTTCATGCCATCATGCCAGTGCGACCCTAGGCTCACTTCTGGGGTCTGCATGCTCATCCCATCACCCTGACATCCAGCGGAACCAGTGGCAGTCTCTGAAGCAGGGGTTCTCAAAGTGCAACAGGAAATCAGAAATCTGGGTGGGTGGGTCAAAGCACAGATTGCTGGGCCCCACCCCAGGGCCTCCTGATGG